TCTCTCTCTCTCTCTCTCTCTCTCTCTCACACACACACACACACACACACACCTGTGAAACAGAAGCCAGGAAAGCTGTGGGTGACAGAGTACAGCGCCCTCGGAGGGAGGGGTCGGCAGGCCTTGGTATTGTGAAGGCCGGAAACAGCGCTTTGGGGAGTGCGGTGGGTTCCATGGCAGCTGCGCCCCCTTTTCTCCTGTTTCTTTCTGTCCCGCTGTGTGCATGGAGGCGAGGGTCCCGGGGCGGTACCGACAGGGTTCGCACACCCGACACTGCCCAGGACGTCCTACTGTCCCCAGCCAGCGCGGCGAGGGTCCCGGGGCGGTACCGACAGGGCTCGCACACCTGACACTGCCCAGGACGTCCTACTGTCCCCAGCCAGCGCCACCGGTTCTCCAGTCCAGGCGTGAATATGAGCGTTCCTCTTAAAATACTTGTGTTTGGAGATGTTAAAATCTAAAGTTGATTGAAAGGAAAAGAACTGACATTCACACAGTTATTATGGGCCGGGCTTCACACACACCAACTCAGTTAATCCCACCTCCGGGCATTGGCTATCATTACCCCTAACTTATCAATGAAGAAACAGAGGCACAGAAAAATGAATTAACCTACCCAAGTAGTGACAGCAGAGCCGGGATTCGCCCCCAGGCACCTGGCGCCAAAGTTCAGGCTCTAATCAACACACACACACACACACACACACACACACACACACACACACACGCTGCCTCCAGGCGAATTCCCCACAGGTAGCACTCACTCAGTAGGTTGGGAAATGCTGCATTAGAAGGACGGAAACTACCTCAGTGACAAGCTAGAAGCCTCCTAAACGCCCCAATAGGAGATCGCTTAAGAAAACTGACAGGAGCCCGGCCAGCGTGGCTCAGGGGTTGAGCATCGACCTTGAAACTACCCCAGGGACAAGCTAGAAGCCTCCTAAACGCCCCACAATAGGAAATCGCTTAAGAAAACTGACAGGGGCCCGGCCAGCGTGGCTCAGTGGTTGAGCATCGACCTATGAACCAGGAGGTCCCGGTTCGATTCCCCGTCAGGACACATGCCCGGGTTGCCGGCTCCATCCCCCACGTGGGGCCTGCAGGAGGCAGCCAATGCATGATTCTCTCATCGCTGATGTTTCTATCTCTCTCTCCCTCTCCCTTCCTCTCTGAAATCAATAAAAATATATTGAGGGGGGGGGACTGAGAGAGCAACTGGAAAACTTTGCCAACTCATCTTTCATCCCCCACAGCCCACCTGGGAGGAAGTTTTCCAGCTTGACCTGCAAAATATACCCAGAACGCAGCCGCTTCTTGCCAGACCTCCATGCCCACCGGGGTCCCAAGCCCTGGCATCTCTTACCTGGGCGACAGCAGGAGGTCCTAGCCATTGGCCAGGCTTCCAACAGCAGCAATGCGAACCTGTTTAAAAATGAAAGTCTGGGTATGCGTCGCTCCTCTGCGTCAATCCCTCCAGGGACTCCCCCTTTCAGAGTAAAGGCCAAGGAGGGGCTTTAGGATTGCTGTTTGCACCCCGCGCCCTCGGGGAGCCCCCTCCTCACGCTCACCCTCATTCACTCTGTGCGGCCACACTGGCCGCCTGCTGCTCCTGGGCTGTGCCAGATGCGCCACCACCGCTGGCCTTTGCATCTGCTGTTCTCTGCCTGGAATGCTCTTCCTCTAGACACCTACATGGCTCCCTCTCTCCCTGGCTGATTTTGTGTTTTTCTCCATAGCGGTTATCTGCACACCGCACGCTATGGACTTTCTTATTTGCTGTCTTGGGTGTCAGTCTCTCACCCATATAGGCATGGTATCCTTTTGAGTTCGTGTTTTCATTTTCTTTGGACAAATACCTGGGCGGGGAACTGCTGGGTCAGACGGTGGAAAAACCACTAGGATTTTTCAAAGGCGTACGTGCGCATGCCCAGGGAGGAGACATAAAGCTGACACGACTACCCACACCTCGCTGGCTCGGGTTTTCGATGCCAGGCCTGTGGAGGCGCAGCTGACAGTGATCAATTCTTGTTGCATATACCCCCCCAAAAAGTGTGTGAGTATTGGGGTTCCCAACTGTGGGACGCCTGGGGCGTGGGGAGCGGCAGTGTACCGTTTCCCGTCGCTTGCTCAATGGCGCGAGGAGGATCCTCAATTACCTCATGTTGCAATTCCGGAAGCTGACACGCAGAGAGGGGCGGCGGCTCCCCCCCGGGCACCCAGTGAGTCAGGGCTGAGCTGGAGCCCAGCCCCGATCGCCACCCTCTGCATCACCCACCCACTCATTCATTCATTCATTCATTCATTTGCGCAAGTGCTCATTCCTTCATGCACACAGCAACCACCCAGCACCCACAGCACCCTGGCAGGTACTGCTGTAGGGACAGACCGCCATCCGGGCGTGGGAGACCAGCAATGAAAAAGCAAACACATAAGCAAACAATGCAGGTCTGGACAGAGGGGCCAGGAGAGGCCGCCAAGGGCGAGACAAGCACGCCGCACGCTGAAAATGAGAGCGAGTCTCGGAGGAAGCAAGAGAGGGCATCGCGGCTGCAGGAGGCACCAGGGAAGGGCTGGGCGTGTCTGAGGCCAGAAGGCAGTGCCCACGCTGCTGAGTGTAAGTGATGCTCGCAGGGGGACCACACGCAGTGTGCGGGGGAGGGAGCCAGGCGCAGGAGGGGTCTGGATTACCCCGCATGCCGGGAGAAGCCGCGAGGGCCCAGGCAGTTTGAATTCTAGAAGAGCCACCTGGACTCCAAGAGCTGGTCCCACCAGCTCTGTGCTCCTAGCCTCAGTTTCCCCATCTGCCAATGCCTAGCTCATAGGATAGGACAGCAAACACGAAGAAGGTTTGGGAGCCCTGGCCGGTTTGGCTCAGTGGATAGAGCATCGGCCTGAGGACCAAAGGGACCCGGGTTTGATTCCGGTCAAGGATATGTACCTCTCACAGCCAGGTTCCAGTCAGGGCTGGTGCAGGAGGCAACCAATCGATGTGTTTCTCTCACGCCGATGTTTCTCTCTGTCTCTCCCCCTCCCTTCCACTCTCCCTAAGAATCAATGGAAAAATATCCTCGGGTGAGGATTAAAAAAAAACAACACCAAAAAGAGCTCTCCCTTCCACTCTTCCTAAGAATCAATGGAAAAATATCCTCAGGTGAGGATTAAAAAAAAAACACCAAAAAGAGCTTTGGGAGCTAAGGTTCGAAGGCCAGTGTTTGTGTGGGACTCGGGAGGACAGCCAGGCCACTGCAAGGCTGTGGGCGGCGAGGCCCCGCTCGAACCCGCAGGGGTTTCTGCTCCCCTGCCCGGGGCCCCACTAGCCCCTCCTCAGCAGCCAATGGGCTGGGGCGCCCGGAGCAGGCCACACAGCCTAGTTCCTGTTTTCAAACGGGGAACTTAGCAAAGTCACAGCCCGGAGCCCGAATGCAGAGCTGAAGGGGGCCCCATGACACCCCTCCCGGACCCCTGGACACGCACGGGGCCAGAAGCTGCAGGTCAGAGGTCAGTGTCGGATCCCACGCTTAGTACCCCTCTGCCCCCCGGGGGCCTGAGCCGGGCAGCCCGGGACCCACCCTCAGTACCTGTAGGGGGAAGGGTGGCCCGAGAGGGGTGGGTGGCAGCCTCGGTGCGCCTTGGGACAGCCCAGGGAGCCGCTCCTCAACCCTCCGTGGCCTCAGTTCCTTCGGAAGTGCCAGGCGCTTCTGCAGCCCCTCTTGGACCTGGGGAATATGTGTTTCTCAAATGGTGGTGCCAGGGAACCCCAGCACCAGCCTCGTCCTGGGCGACTTGGGGAGTCCAGGGCCCACCCCCAGGCCTGCTAGACTGGACTCTGGTGCTGGGAGCCAGGAAGTCTGCTTTCTCCAAGCCCCCAGCACCCCTCCCCCGAGGAGGCTGTGATGGCAGCGGGGACAGTTCCAGCAGCGTGGCCCCCCCTCTGTCCAGGCCACAGGAGCACAGGGTGCAGACCAGGCCTGGAGTCGGACAGGCCAGAGCTCAAGCCCAGCCCCACCCCAGGACCCATCCGCAGACCCAGGCCACCTGCACCTTCGTGTTCTGAATCCCTGCTAATGTGTTCCTTGTCCCTTTTTCTAATCTGCCTTAGACGTTTACAATGCTGCTCCAACTTCTACCTTGATTAAGAGTCGTTTATTTCTCAATTAGTTCTCGAAGCATCTATTGCCTGTCAGATAATGAGAGGGACTGTTAGTGCGGGGGGGTAGGGCCAAGGGGGCCTGAGCGGATGCTGCCCATGGACACCAGCCTCAGGGAGTGGGTTCTGTTTGTATAAAGGAAACTGAGGCACAGAGAAGGTAAGGAACGTGCCAGGCACCCGGTAATCTCGTTCACTCAGCTCATTCACAGGGGTTACGGCATAAACCAGCGGTTCTCAACCTGTGGGTCACGACCCCTTTGGGGGTGGAACAACCCTTTCACAGGGGTCGCCTAAGACCACCGGAAAACACATATATAATTACATATTTTTTTGTGATTAATCACTATGCTTTCATTATGTTCAATTTGTAACCATGAAAATACATCCTGCATATCAGATATTTACATGACGATTCATAACAGTAGCAAAATTACAGTGATGAAGTAACCACGAAAATAATTTTATGGTTGGGGGTCACCCCAACACGAGGAACTGTATTAAAGGGTCGCGGCATTAGGAAGGTTGAGAACCACTGGCATAAACCAAACCTGAGCACCCCTCTGCCTCCTGCTGCCTCCCTCCCCGAGCAGGTGGAGGGGACCCTGAAGGCAGACAGGCTGCCTTCTGTCCTACCTCAGGCCCTGCCCACCACCAACTGCTCTGAAGTCTCAGTTCCTTCACCATAAAGCAGAGGTCCCACGCTCCTCCCGCCCCACATTCCCGCGGAGGGAGGGAGCGGGTGCTTCGGGCAGAGGCTCAGCCAGGGCCTCGCACACTCCCCAGCCATGGGACCTTGGGCCAACCCTCCCCTGCTCCTGGGAGTCCTGACAGGTTTGGGGGGCAGTGAATAAGACAGGTGTGAGAACCAGGGGGACTAGGAAGTGGGGAAGAAGTGGTCGGGGGCCCTAGCCGGTGTGGCTCAGTTGGTTGGAGTGTCGTCCTGGGCACCAAAGGGTTGCAGGTTCGATCCCCGGTCAGGGCACATGCCCGGGTTGCGGGTTCCATCCCCAGTTGGGGGTGTGCAGGAGGCAGCCGATCAGTGATTCTCTCTCATCATTGATGGTTCTCTCTCTCTCCCTCTCTCTTCCTCTCTGAAATCAATAAAAATATATTGAAAAAATAAATAAAATAAGAAATTCAGAGCAACAGGTAACATGAGGATCCTAACAAGAAGGAAGGACAGCTCGGCCTTGGGCCCTGGTTTGGCATCCGGCAGTGGCCAGACAGCTGGATGGGCAGCGGAGGCCCAGCAGGGGGGACCATGAGACGGGTGTTGGGCCTCCCAGGACCCACCAGGGCCCCACCCCGAGTGGCTCTCACTTCTCTCTTGTCCCCCTGGCAGCCCGGAGCATGGCAAGTGCCCCGCACCCCGGGAGCCCGGGGTGGGCAGGACTCATGGCCCCGAGCGTGGCAGGGGCCAGGCAGGAAGTGCCCGCCGCCGGCCCTGGTCTCCCGCCTCCAGAACCTGAAGGGGACTCGGGTGAGCGGAGGCATGGGGCGTGGTCGGGGGAACGAAGGTGGGAAGACGTTGAAACACACATGTGGGCACCTCAGCAGAAGCCAGGAGACAGCAGGGCACCTCCCTTAGCTCGGCTCATCCCGCAGGGGACACGGAGCCGGGCCGCAGGGGCCCACCTGCAGGCCGGAGTGGACCCTGCGACACACGACACACCTTGCATTTTGCAACCAGAGCCACCTGGGGAGGAGGGGCCACTTCAGGTCGTCCGTCTGGGGCAGGATGGGTTCAGCCAGGTGGGGCCCAGGGTCGGGCTGATGCCCAGCTCGCCCTGTTCTTGGTCAGATGGGGGCGGGGGGAGTCACAGCTCTTCTGGGAACCCCATGTCCCACCCAGACAGACCCAGGCAGACCCAGGGACACCCCCCCGCCAGGCCTGGCCCCCACGTGCACTGGCCTGGTCCAAGGCCTCGGGGTGCTGTTCTTGCAGACGGGGCCGGCAGCCCGAGCGCCCACTCCGGCATGACCACTCGGGAGCTGCAGGAGTACTGGCAGGGCGAGAAGGGCAGCTGGAAGCCCGTGAAGCTGCTCTTCGAGATCGCCTCGGCCCGCATCGAGGAGGAGAAGCTGTCCAGGTTTGTGGTAAGCACCGGGGCCGGGGCTGCGGGCCTCGGCTTCCCCAGCCTGGAAGGGCTCACACACACTCACCCGCAGTTCTGCTGGGGGAGATGCTGGGGAACAGGGCCAACGAGCAAGATGGCGCGCTGGGCACTGTGCCAGCTGCGTGAGGCCCGGAGGCCTGTGAGCCACGGCCCCCGATCCCCACGAGGAACGAGCCCTTTGTCCCACGTGACCTGGGGTTGGGCGTCTGGGTCCCCGCGCCGTGTTGCCACATCCCTGTATCAGTGACATTGTCACTTACCTAGGAGTTTCCTTTAAAATGTGTCACTTCTTGGAAAACACGAAATAAATGCATTTCTAGGAAAATGCCTCCAATAGGAAAGCCAGGCCCCTGCCGTAAAGAGAAGGTGATCGTGGCCGGGCCAGTGTGGCTCCGTGGGCGGAGCATCGGCCTGAGCACTGGAAGGTCTCGGGTTTGATTCCCAGTCAAAGGCACGTGCGTGGGTTGCAGGTTCGATCAGGGCACAGACAGGAGGCAACCAGCTGATGTCTCTCTCACACAGATGTTTCTCTCTCTCCCTCCTTCCCACTCTCTAAAAATCAATGGGAAAAATATCCTCCAGTGAGGATTTTAAAAAAAAGTTCCTGGTGGGACAGCTCTGGTGGGGGCAGCTGCTCTGTCACAGTGGGCGTTAGCCTGTGTTGGGGGAGACCTTACTGACCGCAGAAGGGCCTCGCCTTTGGGGCAGCTCCTCCAGGCACATGCAGAAGGCACCCAATCGACATGGATGTTTCTCTCTGTCTTTCCCTCTCTCTTCCACTCTCTCTAAAACAGTGGTTCTCAACCTTCCTAATGCCGCGACCCTTTAATACAGTTTTTCATGTTGTGGTGACCCCCAACCATAAAATTATTTTCGTTGCTACTTCATAACTGTAATTTTGCTACTGTTATGAATCGTAATGTAAATATCTGATATGCAGGATGTATTTTCATTGTTACAAATTGAACATAATGAAAGCATAGCGATTCATCACAAAAACAATATGTAATTATATATATGTGTTTTCCGATGGTCTTAGGCGACCTCTGTGAAAGGGTCGTTTGACCCCCAAAGGGGTCGCGACCCACAGGTTGAGAACCACTGCTCGGGTTGAAGATGAACATATTATAAAAAAAAAAAAGCGCATTTTCAGGGTGTGCTTTAAATCCCGATCATCATTCTTCCCTTCGCCAGGCTCGCTCTGGCAGTGCAAACCCTCCTTGGGATGCGCTCCGAGGCCATCTCTCTCTCTCCCCCCCCCCCCCCCCCCCCCCCCCCCACCCCCCACCCCCCCCACCCCCCGGCCGCCCCCCCCCC